ACAACACTACATAGTTGAAGATTTGGGTTGGTTTTTTTTTTTTTTTTTCAGATAATTTTTGTTTTGTTTTGTTTTGTTTTTGGTCTCTTAATTTACAACTTCTCCATCCTCTTCCTTTCCTTTCTTGTAAAAATGATTTTTGAAGAAGTGTAGCCATTTCAACCTGTGAAATGGCAAAGTTTCCCATAGCCTGAATTCTGCTGATGTGATGGCCTCAATACAAATATTATAACTAGTTGGTATAAATCAGTCCATAAGGAGGATATCAGTTAGAATGAAAGGCAAACATCTCATCTGCCATAGGTGCATTAAGATTCTTTTTCTCAGGGATCCCTGGGTGGCTCGGCGGTTTGGCGCCTGTCTTTGGCCCAGGGCGTGGTCCTGGAGTCCAGGGATCGAGTCCCGCATCCCGCGTCGGGCTCCCGCTGCTTCTCTTTCTGCCTGTGTCTCTGCCTGCCTCTCTCTCTCTCTTTCTCTGTGTCTATCATGAATAAATAAATAGATAAATCTTTAAAAAAAAAAAAAAGATTCTTTTTCTCTAACAAAAACCATGGGATAATGATGATTTTTTTTTAACAAAAGTTACTTTGAGGTAATCTGTTTCTTCCTTCCTCTTGCTGCCTCATACATATATCTCGTAGAAAATCTGGTAATAGGAAAATGCCATGTTGGATATATAAGGAAGGTAAAAAAAAATAAGCATAAACAAAACAAAAAGATTATTTTTCTTGGGAAGGAAATGGAAAGGACCAGCAATCACTAGCCAGCACTTTGGTTATTTCTGAATTTTGGCACTTTTAAGAAACAGCCAAATGCAGCTACCAGAAAAGAAACAGAAAGCAAAATCAACTAAAGGGCAATATAAAACTCAATGAGACAAGCCATATTCATTCCTTTCCCACACTCATGTTGCCCTCACCACCACATTCTTTTCAAGACACAGCTTCTCAGCAAGGCCTTCAGGCAAGAAATAAGGCTAGCCATGTAGTTAAACCTACTTGCTGTAAGATCTTGGGGCAAGTTACTTAGCACAAGTTTCCTTACATGAACAGTGAGGATAATATGTACCTTACGAGGAGGTTTTTAGGGGGCTCCACTGAGATAATAGCTATAAAGCGTCACATAGTAAATGCATACATAACAAATGTCAGTCTCTTGGCTTTGCCTCTTCCCGGCCAAGTTGTATCATTTTTCCTTTAAATATGTTGACTTTAAACACTCAAGCCATTGAAAATCAAAAGTTCAAATAAAGGACATAAAAAATTCTGAATTTTCACTTCACCCTATGCAGAATGAACCTTTTTGACAACGTCTTTGTGCATTTAAATAATACTGAGCAATATGCTTAAACTTTAAGAACCAGGGACAAAACCCCTCCTTCCCAGTTGTTCCCACATTCATCTTTACCGTCCATTCCCTCCACAACCTTGCTGGTTTGGCACCATTTAATCAATCGGAGAACAAAAGGAAGACTGGAAATCTTTTGTTCCAATCCTCATTTTCCTGGAAAGGAAACTGAAACCCAGAGTGAATTTCCTAAGCACACTCTGGTTCACAGCAGAGACTGGACTACAGCCTCTACCACTGGTTGCAAATGAAGTGCCTACAGGGGCCAATGGGTTAAAGAGAGGAGAGTAAAAGGCGGGGTTAGGTGGGGAGCACAGCTGTTCTAAACTGTGAACTTCAGCTCACAGTTACCATATTGGAAAGAGGGCCAAGTACTGCTAGAACATCTAACATTTAAAGAGATCACTGCAACTTGAAACTTAATATATAATCGACTTGCTTTTAAATGCTGGCAATGTATTAAACATTTTTTTTAAACTCTCCATGCAGGTCAAACAAGACACATCTGTGGGCTGGATTTAGCCAATTTGAGGCCTCTGCATCCTGTCAACCCTAAGTTAAATTTCTTTTATTTAATTTGCTTTGATTCTCACAACCCTTGCTCAAAATAAAAACCTTCAATGGCTCCCCATTGCCTACAAGATAAAGTCCAAACTTCTCACCCAGTCCTTCAAGACAATCCATGACTATCTTTAAGACCTCAAAGTATATTTCCACCTTACAGTCCCCATCCTCCACTGCAACCAGAATGGCCACCAATTTCTACATCAGGTACAAAATTTTCAGAAAGTCACCTGCCCCGGCCACATGGGCTGTCCTTGTTCTTCAGACTGTGCCTTTCTTGGGATGACTTCCACCTGTGCACTCCCATCACTGAAACTCTGTCCACCCCTTAAGTGCCCAGTGGAAGTACTACCTTTCCACAAAACCTCCCTGATGGCCCCTGCGAAAAGCCACCTTGCTCTGAATTTCCATAGGACTTTATACCACTCACATGACACTTAAAACATACTGCCTTGTTTTGGAGTTACCTGCACAGCTCATTTCCCCAAGTACCCAATAACTCTTCTGGAAGGAAGGGTTTGAATCTGACGACCATGGTGAATATGTACACAGCTCTGTTCAAAGCAGGGGGCTCAATAACTATCTCAGAAACATTACCCTTTTATGCTGCAAACTTGTAGATCAAACATGAAGAAAATACTGTTAGAGAACCCCACTACATTTGTCTTTCATAGGCAGACTCTTGAGTGACAAAAAGGGGAAAAGACCTCACTTCTCTGGCTTCCCAAAACATTTTCTGCCCTATACTACTACTTCTACCCGCTTTGTGATTTCCTCCTCTAGAAGCCCTCACATCTTTGCTCCAGACAACACTGATTCTAAGAGACCACTGTTAAATATTCATCCATTATGTGAAAGTGTTGGTCTTTTCCTAGGAGTTAATTTATCAGTCTGGTGGTTATCACTTGGAAAGACACAGAGAGCTGGGCAACTGGTAAATAGATGCTGTCATCATATAGTTCAGTTGTGACAAAACTGATTAAATCATAACTACCCAGGAACCAAGGTTGCTTTTGAGTGTGAGAGTCCTAAACTTGTGTCTCACACTCCTGTTTTTCTGGAGCCACTCCCATTATTAGTCATTTACTTTCAGCTGTGTCAAAAGAGAAAAGAAAAAAACCCATTAGGCTTCATTTTATTTTTTTATTGGCCTGGCCTACCCTAAAGGCACTCAATAAAATGTTTGCTGACTGAACTTCAAAAATCAACTTTCACACTCTTGTAAGTCTTTTATAAGATGGCCTAAATTTGTACAATAATGGGAAAGGTTGATGCAACCTGAACTCAAACTAGCTACAGTTTAGATGTCAACTGAGTCATTTCAGTTAGCATATCCTGGGCACACCATTTTAAACCTGATCAAATATATACAGTCAGAGGCATGTTAGCCTTGCAAACATCAAGTTAGATGTTCACATTTATGTCACGTGGTAATCTGTTTTGATGTTAGAGAGCCAAGACTATCTTGAATTCTAGTAAACATCAAGGACAACAGACTATTGGGGTTTCCATTATGAAAACAATGTTTTTTCCTGTCTTGGATGATGCTATTGTAGGTCATAACTACTAGTTCTCTAATTTCTTTACCAAAAGAAAAAAGTTCATTCTTAAACCTTTACTAGGAGTGCTTCTAGCATAAGCACATTAGAGCTTGTTTGTAGTGTACATTAGCATAAGCATAATTTAACAGACTTCAAAGAGCTTCCCATAAAAAGCAATTCTTCTCTTTGTAATTCCTGTGAAAGAAGTGAAATAGGTTTCGCACAGTGACCAAGAGGCTCTGAGTGCCCTCATTTTTCCTTCTTTAGTACATTTTGGGATAGAACAGGCTTAAAGCAATACTCTCTGCTGCAAACTAATAAGGTGAACATGCTTATTTTGGCTTTCTGTAAATAATTTTCTGTTAAATTTCTGAAAACAAAATTTTAATATTTTAGAAGTTAACATCCGAAACACTGTTCAAGTGTCCTTTAAAGGAATTCTGGACCTCTAATCATTCGTTAAAACACGATTTAGACCAACAGTAACAAGTATGTTGTGATTACATTGTTGTAAAATAGGAAGGCCCACAGATTTGTTAAAGAACAAGAATACAGTAACACACTTAGGAACACAGGCAGCAGCCTGGGACCCACTACATCAAGATCCCTTGCTCCCACTTAAAAGAGTATGAATGGGGATCCCTGGGTGGCGCAGTGGTTTGGCGCCTGCCTTTGGCCCAGGGCGCGATCCTGGAGACCCGGAATCGAATCCCATATCGGGCTCCCTGCATGGAGCCTGCTTCTCCCTCTGCCTGTGTCTCTGCCTCTCTCTCTTTCTCTCTCTGTGACTATAATAAATAAATAAAAAAAATTAAAAAAAAAAAAAGAGTATGAATGCAGCCAGTGGAAGGGCTCCTCGGAGTGTTTTTCTGATCTTTTATATATATATATATATTATTTATTCACACATAAGAGAGAGGCAGAGACACAGGCAGAGGGAGAAGCAGGCTCCCTGCGGGGGGGGGGGGGGGCCGATGCGGGACTCGATCCCGGGGCTCCAGGATCGCGCCCTGGGCCGAAGGCGGCGCCAAAGCGCTGCGCCACCCGGGCTGCCCGCGCTTTTCTGGTCTTATACCAAGGCAGGAAGTAAATGGGCAGCTCCGCTCCCCTTTGATTTCGCTCAGTGCACGCTTCCAGCACAGGCCGGCACTGCTCAGGCGGACGACGGTCCCCCAGAGGCCGGCGAGGCAGAGGCAGGGTCCTGCGGCCGCCGCCCGGGAGCGGAAGCGCCGGGAGCGCCGTGCTGAGGCCGCAGCGTCCGCGCAGGGGCGGGGGCCGGGGCCGGGGCCGGGGCCGGGGCGGGGGCCGGCACCTGAGGATGGGGCGTCGTGTATGTTTAACCGTAACGTGACCAGGACGGCGGGGACTGAACTGGGTGGGGGGAGCCGTCGCCTCACACCCCGAGAGTCCTTCCGGGAGAAGGCGGATTCGGGCTGGAGCGGCGGGAGGCCCGGGCCCCGGAGGCCCAGGAACGACCCGCAGGGGCCGGAGCCCCGCGCCCCGCGCCCCGCGCCCCGCGCCCCGGACAGGGAGGCGCCGCGGCCTTACCTGGTTCCCGAGGTACCACGCGCGCGACAGGGAGCCGTTGCCGGCGCCCGGCGACCAGTACGTGAAGTTCCAGGACAGCTCGTCCGCCGCGGCCGAGGCGGCCATGGGCTCCCTGCCTGCCCCGCGCCCCCGCGCCCCGCGCCCGCCGCCCGCCGCCCGCCGCTCAGCCCCGCGCCCTCGAGGCCACTTCCTGCTCGGCGCCGGCCACCTGGCTCCCGCCCCCCCCGCCGCGCGCCGCAGGTGCGGCTCCAGCCCGCCCCGCCCCGTTCTGTGTGGTTCTGTGTGGCTCTATGATGTCATCACTTCCATCTTTCTGCTCTACCATTCCTGACATATCAGTCTTTTCCCTTTTCATGGTGGCAGCTCCAGGCATTACACGCAAACATGACCACACGCAGGGGGAAAAAAGTGAGGCATTTCTTCGTATGCATCTTGTTGTTGTTGTTGTTGTTGTTTTCAGAGAGGAAAACCTTTTCCAGTCTGCCCCAGCAGATTCCCCTTCAGGTCCCATCAGCCAGGACTGGGTCACAAGCCCATCCGTGCTCTACCTGCAAGGGAGGCTGGGAAAGTGACTCGGACATTTCCAACCTTCAGAATGGGAGGTGAGCTCTATCTGCAAGGAAGAAACCAGGATAGGGTGGGAGGGTACTACCAGCAGAGCCTGGCACAACCACTCCTCAATATATTCCATCAGCCAGATTGTAACTAGTCATACACTCTCTAACAAGCAAGATAATAAGTGGATCGTGTCACTTTCCTGTTTAAAATGCTACCAGACCTCACCATTGACACAATAAGTTCACACTTTTTAAGCTTGGCATATGAGACACTTTATGATCTGGCCCCCATGCTCTGCTACACACAAATCAGTCCCACTTTATTTTTTAATTAAAAAAATCATTTTCCATTTCTTTGCATTTGTTTAAAAACCTGTAATTTGGAGGAAGACAGCACTCGGTACAGAATAAGTATGATGTGTAGCCTGTGACATGCTGTTCTCCAGATTCCAAGATGCCACTGCAGTGACTGTGGCTGTCCTAATGTGTGGGGGTGGTTGGAACAAAGAATTCGTGACCAATGTTCCTTTCCACACAGTTCACAAGGAGGCGGCAGGAATGCTGTGTGAGCTATTTCCGTCCCAGCAGTGTAGGAGTCGCTGGAGGCTGTTCAGGGCTTTGTGACGGACGGCCTCTACTTCTTGCGGGGTTTCTTCAGGGGATATCCTGTTCACTTTACAGGACACCAAAAACCCTTGATCTACTGGCTGTTTTTAGAGCTGAAATGGTGGAGGTCTGTTCTTCAGTTAATTCTAGGAGTTCTATTTTGGTGCCACATCATTTGAAGCTAAATCCTGACTCCACTGCAGATTTGCTGTGTGATTTTGATCAAGTGGTTTAATTTCTCTGTGCTTTGCATTTATCCTCTGTAAAAGGGAGCTAATGAGTACTGCAACATAGAAAATACTCAATAAGTTGTATCTTTTACTACTTATGATGGTGGGAGAGGGAGGAACTTTTTAAACAAACAGATATGCGCAAAAAAATACAAACCACAGAGGATAAAGTTGATATACACAGTTGCAATAAAATTAAGAACTTTCATACATCAATAGACCAAAAATATAAAAAGATAAGTCACAAAGGGAGAACATTATTTGTTATGACATAAAATTGATGAAATTTCACATCCAGAATATGTAAATAACTCCTAGAGGTCAATAAGAAAATGCCGGATAAACCAGTAGAAAAATGGGCAAAAACATAAACAGGCATGTTTCCTTAAGAGAAAGTATAAATGGCTGATAAACATATACAACGCTTCCATGTCACCAATAATCAGAAAAATGCAAATTTAAAAGCTCAATGAGAATCTATTAAAAAAGAGAGAGAGAGAATCTATTTATACCTGCCTGGTTAGCAAAAAAAGTTGTTTTTTTAATTTATATTTTGTTTCAGTTTCTTTGGGCCACTATAACAAAAATACTACAGACTGGATAGCTTATAAACAACAGAAATTCATTGCTCACAGTTTTGAGGCTGGGAAGTCCAAGATCAAGGCACCAGCACATTTAGGCCCTCTTCCTCGTTCACAACCGGCACCTTCTTTTTTTTTTTAATTTTTATTTATTTATGATAGTCACACAGAGAGAGAGAGAGAGAGGCAGAGACACAGGCAGAGGGAGAAGCAGGCTCCATGCACCGGGAGCCCGACGCGGGACTCGATCCCGGGTCTCCAAGATCACGCGCTGGGCCAAAGGCAGGCGCTAAACCGCTGAGCGACCCGGGCTGCCTGGATGTAATTTTTATAAGTGCGATATACTTATAACTAATACAAAAGATGAATCGAGAATCAAATGCAAGATTTTCTGGTCAAATTTTTCAAAAGTTCAAGGTCAGTTGACCTGGACTTAAGTTAAGTCTTCTGTTCCTTATCAGCTGTGTGGCTTGGGGCAAATTCTCTGAGGTTCAATTTCCTAGTTCATAAAGTTGGGAATAATAATATTTTATTGCAAATATTGTTGTAAACATTCCATACTAGGTAATATGAGTAAAAAACATTTTATAGTTCAACTCAGTTCACCCAACATTTGGTGCCAGGAGCCAAAGGCACAGGGATGAATAAAGCATGGGCTTTTTTTGCCCGAGAACTGATACCAACGTGAGCAGACAGGCAGGTAACAGGTAGACTCAATTTAACTTTAGCATGAGAGCTGGGAGACAACAAAGTGGTTATCCTCAGCTCAGTTTGGGAAGGCAAGTGCAACCTGAGGCTACCTAGAAAGGAGGGCTGAGTGTTTCAAATCCCGGAGGATGAGTTAGCCACTGCAGAAGGGAGGTGGGGGTGATCAGGGCATAAAACAAGGCCAGAAACAAGAAACAGTATAGTGGGCATGTTTCCAATTAGTCATGGCTGAGATGACATTTACCCTGAGAATAAGGACAGAAGGACCAGCAGGGCCAGGACATATAAGATTTGTGTGCTGGGTTATTAAGGTTGGACTTGACTGTTACTGGGAGCAGTTGAGTAAGTTTACATAAGGGAACAGCAGAACAGGATTGTTGCTTTACTTTTTTTTTTTTTTTTTTAAGATTTTACTTATTTATTCATGAGACACACACACACACACACACACACACACAGGCAGAGACACAGGCAGAGGGAGAAGCAGGCTCCCTGTGGGGAGCCCGATGCGGGACTGGATCCTAAGACCTCAGGATCACGACCTGAGCCGAAGGCAGACACTCAACCACTGAGCCACTCAGGTGCCCCAGGATTGTTGCTTTAAAAGATTCCCTACTGGAAGGGCAGTGATGGTTTAGGTGGAAAATACCAGAGAGAGAGAGAGTCAAGTTAAGAGCCTACAATGAGGATACATGACAAAGGTGAGAGAGAGCAGAGATCTCAGAAATGTTTCCAAGTAAAACCTGCACAACCGGTGGATGGAGCAGGGGAGGGAGAGAGAAGGTGGGGGTAAGGAGATGTGAAGCAGGGGAGAGAGAGACAGAGATGAGAGAGAGTCTAAGATGTGTTCTAGTTGGGACTACTGGGTGCTAAGGCAGCATCACTTACCAACATGGGTACTAGGAAGGAAGATTCGGTTTAGGGAGAGAGGGTGAATTCAGTGAGTTGAAGACTCAATCGAATTTGAGGAGCTTGTGGGGCATCTAAGCAGAAAAGGAGGTGCACGATTATCTTAAGATGCAGGGGTGAAGTCCGGGGCCAGGGAGATTTAGGTGGATGAGGCTGGCCAGGGAAAGCACATGGCCCCCATCATTTGGAGTAGGACCAGGCAAACTTTTTCTATAAAAGGCCAGATAGTAAACATTTTAGGTTTTGTGGACCATATGGTCTCCTACCGTAACTATTCAACTCTGCTGTTACAGTGCAGAAGCAGCTACAGACAGTATGTAAATTAGTGTGTGGCTGTGATCCAATAAAGCTTTATTTACAAAAACAGGTGGCTGGCACAAACTATAGTTTGCTGACCCCTTTCCTAGAGAGAGGAGAGCTGAGTGCAGAATACAAGGCCAACAAGGACCACTCGAGAGGTAAAAGAATACATTGGCTAGGCCTTTTGGCACATGAGTGAAAGGATCCCAAACCAAAAGAAAATTCAATGACTCATAATTAATACCTGGGAAGGCAGGCATGGAGCTAGACCACTAGATCCAGGAACCTGATTTCTGGGTATGGTCTTCATCCTCAGGTCAGCTTCACATGGTGGGGGCATGGCCACAGCCTCTCCTGGTGTCCATCCTTAGAGCCTGGGTTCAGAAAGGTAAAGGAAGTGGACAGATTGGTTATTGTTCCCATTTCTTCATGCCCTCCCTCCCATGGAGGGATATATCTATTATCCACCCCTAACTCTTCACCTCCCTCCTCCCCTGCCAATTGCCAAATGACTGTAATTCCTCCCACTAGAGGCAGCATCTCAGTGATACTGGGTTTGGCCACATTGGCTTGCTCTGGAAATGTGGATAGTGACAACAAAGTGACAGTTCTGAGCCAAGACCTTGAGAGATAGCTCACATTTCTGCTTGCTCGGTATTTCTGTGCTCTATCTTGAGAAGAGGAGGCCTTAAGTAGCCATTGGTCCAGAGAGAACAAAGACACCTGTGAAGCCCACCTGAAGTCAGTCCTTACCACATCTGGCCTATAGACTCACAGATGAGAAAATAAATATTGGTTCTTATAAGCCAACAAGATTTTGAGAATATTTGTTATACAGCAACACTGATTGATTAGGGTGTGCCCAACCAGCTTCATTTAGAAAGTCCTGAATAACAGGCTTGATTTGAGACATGTAACCCATCTTGGGACCAACCACTGAGGGCAGAGAGATGTGGATCCTGGTCTCACTCTTCTTTAGGGAGGTGGGGGCAGTTACCAAGGTGAGGAGAGGCGGGCCGAGCAGACAAAAGCAGTAGCCAGTGCTGAGAAGTCAGGCAGGACAGAGTAGCCAAAACCAGGATGTGTAGATGGCTGAGAGAACACAGAGATGATACATGAGAAGTGTTTGTGCCCTTTGGCAACAGCGACCAATAAAAGTCATGAGTGATCTTTGCCTGAGCAGTTTCAGTTGAGTGTTGGGGGCACCAGCCAGATGATAGTTGGTGATTATATTTAAATAAATTCTAATT